TACTGACAATACTTTTTCAGAAAATATTACAACTTGCTCGAATGCATCATCATTATCATCAGGTACTAGTGAAAATGTAAAGGATACAATTATTACAAAGGTTAAATGCAAAACTATGAATAATACTAATAATTTGAATCAACATGCATCTAGTAATATTGAATATTCATCATCATCACTAACAATCAACAATAGTAGTGGTGGAAGCAGTAGTAGTGGAAGCAGTGATAATACTTCAAAAGAAGAAGAAGAAGAAGCAGTAGAATTTGATGATTGTGAAAGCTTTCTCAGTTCAATTTCATTCCTTTACAATTAAAAGAATCTCTTATTCGAATGAAAAAGTCAATAGAGTAGCATCATTACATTTCTATTTATGAAGTCAGTCACTGAATTAAGACCATTATTAAACATGTAAAACTTCCAAATAGATTAAATTAGCTCACGTCATCCATTCAACTTTTTATTTGATTTGTTTTCTTTTATTCCCGAACTTGCAGAGTTGAAAATTGAATTCGTTATCGTTGCACACTCACCATCAACAACAACAACAAACAACACAATTAATTGACACATGTATTTATTACTTGTAATTAATAAAAATATTTATAAAAAATGGGAAAACACAGGTGCCACGATTTTTAATTGTGTACAATCCGAATATTATTTGTGCTGCTAGCAATAATGGTACTTACTATAGTAGTATATTGTTTGTTGCTAATTTGTATTCCGCTGCAAGGCATAGGAAATCATCTATGATTATACGGATTTCCTACCTGAATATTAATCAAAGGCTTGAATGTACCTAATTTCTCATCAGCCAACTATTTAATAATCAAACGAATTGATGAATATTGAGAATTGAATTATGGAAGGCTTTGAATAATTTTACAATTATTAACCAATTTATTCCAAATGAAAAGTCCATATTGGAAAATTAAATTCCATTTGAGCTTGTGCTGAATTTGAATAGGTCTTTCTCTTTTGATATTCTCTTCTTTTCAAATGTTTTGGATTTGAATTTACAATACAATTACAAGATAATTCACAAAATACATTATTTGAACAATGACAAGATGAAGTAGTAATAGAAGTGGATGAAATTGAGATTTTCTTCTTCTTTTCTGTATTTGGACTTGTATAATATTTGAAGGAAGAGGAAATCTTTCTCTTCTTCTGATTATTGATTATTGGTATGGTATTGAGCGTGGTAGTATTTTCATTAT